AACGGAGCAGACGAGATTTTTCGGCATGGGCCGCACGTGCGGCAATCCCCTCTGCACGTGTGGAAAGGTGGGCAGCACGTGTGGTAATCCTTTCCCGCACGTGCGGTAATTTCATAATACAAATCTCAATTTTTCCCCATTTTCCGCACGTGCGGCCATGACCTCCGTGCGTACGGCCGTGGCCCTTGTTTTGGGTTGTCCGAATTCAAAGCATAACTTAACTAAGTTACAACATTTCAAGGCCCAAAAATGGAGGAATTTAAGACAATATAATGGTATAACATCACATTAACATGGATCACAAATTCAATTAGACCTTTAATTCCTTGAAACTCATAAAAATAATCCAATTCCATGAGATTTCCAACTTCTCACACACATAGATATATACATACATGGCCATTGTCCACATAGTTAAGCTCAAACATGACAATTGAAGAAATAAGATGTAATTTCTCACTAGATAGTTCAAGTTAAGTCAAAATACCAAATGATAAGATTATCTTGCCAATTAACCAACATACACACACAAGATCTCAATTACAAACCCTAGGTCACACAATATCAAGGAATTCCTACTCTAAACCAAGGAAAGGGGATTGAACTAGGTGGGAAAAACTCACCTTGAGCTTCAATCTCTAAATACCCTTTCAACTTCTCAATCTTCTTCCTTGTAGATCTTCCCCTTTTGTTCCTTCTCTCTTCACTCTTCTTTCTTAGGAGATACTTGTATATAAGCTTTTAAGTCAAATGTTTAAAGAACATATAGATATAGCAAGGTTGAATAAGACAAAATTTATTCAGTTTAGTCATTCTGAATCAGATTTTCACAAAAATGCTTATTATGATTTAAAAATTATGCTGATCTCAAATATAAAGTCAATTTCAGATGATTAAGCTTCTAAGGCTTCCAATTTCTGATCCAAACATTATAATTGTAACAGATATTTCTCTTATTAGATAGATATGAATCTATACTCATAAGATTCACTTAATTAAACTTAATTTCACATGAAATTTCACAATAAGCATATAAGTGCGCAGAATAAGGGACTGAAAGCATACCAGAAAACATGTATGAGGGTCGGGTTATTACATTTTAGACCATGAAGAACATGAGCTTAGGTAGTATTTAAGGGTACCGGTGAGTTGGGTTGAGCTGTGTTAGTGTGCTTTAGTGTGGGGTACTTAGTTTATTATTCTCTTTAGTATTTTTAAATTAGCAGTGACGTGTAGTTTTCATACTTGGTTTAGGGCACTAGTTGAACTTTTATACTCTATTCGAGGGTTGCATTATTCCATTTTCAGGTGAGTAGTTGCATGCTACATATTTTTATAAATGTTTCCCTACCCTGAACTGTTGGAAAATTAAATTATTGTTTTAGGACTAAACTGTTTTGATAATCTATTATATTATCAATGGAATTAAATTATTTCTGAAACATGTGTAAACTTGGCATACTGTAAACTATTTGTTTTGGTCCCATGTTTCTAATGGTGAACTACCATGTTTTGCGAAACTAATGTGTATTGATTATTGGGACCATTTGTATATTTTAGTCCAGGGAAATTATTCCAGTGTGTGTGATGACTCTGTCCACTAGGGAACAGATCCGGGTTGGGCCGAGATGACTCTAGTGTTCAACGATTTTAAGGAAAATACCTTGGTTAAGCTAGGTGACCTTCAATCAGATCGTCTTAGAGAAAAGGCCCGGGTTGCCACCTTGAGGATGACTCTTAGTTTGGTATTGGATCCAATGGGGCTTATAGCCTTGAGAAGTATGTAGCATGTTACTTGTTCTTTCTTGGTACCCAGAAAATTATTGGTGTTCATGTTGTAATCTGTTTTAAGTGAAAAATGTCATTTATCATGTTCTTGAGAGACATGAGTATTTTAACTGTTAAACTATGGATCCTTCTTTTTGAAACAGATTGTCTTTACCAAACTGTATGTCAAACTAGTTTCTGTGACATATATCTTATTTTGGAATTGAACCCTGTTTTCAAAACTGTATTTACTATCCATGTTGCTACTCACTGAGCTATCAGCTGACTTCGTGGTTTATCATTTCCAGGTGTTAGAAGGGCTTAGAATGGACTCACGGCGTAGCGAGGACTCAATTGCATGGACCTCTAGGACATTCATTTATTTTGTTTTAACTTGTTATGTTGGGTTTTGTGCATACATTGTGGTTGGGTTTTGATTTATTTATTCTTAAGCTATCGTCACATTTATTTCTTTTTATTTTTATTGAGATTCATTTAGAATTATTTTGATATGTGGGCCGTTTAAATCCCATAAGTTTAGATAGTGTTGATTACGGTTGGTTTGTCATTTATACTTGTGACTTGTCACTGGTTTGGGTTTTGATTTATTTATTCCTAGGCTATCGTCATATTTATTCTTTGTGATTTTAGGTTCATGTTTAGGCTTGCTTGTGCCTTGGGCTTAGTCCCTGTGGGCCGCAGCCAGTCATACCCGGGTTTGGGGTGTGACACCAAGAGAGGCTTAAATTATCCACTGTGTATGCTGCCTTGGTTGCAACCAAGATAAGGTCGTGTTAAAGACTAAACATGGATGTTAGTACCCACTTTCTATGTTGTGCCTGTTATGATTAGCCAGATGCGAGATCTCATCTGGCACCTGGAAGGTGAGCAAATAGAGAATTTGGGTTAGGTGCTAGTTAGTGATTGAATCTAAGATCTGTATGGTGTTTGGAGGATGACATCACTCTTTAGAAGAGTAACTCCACCGTAGCATGTATTCATACATGTACTTGGCAACCAATTAGTGAGGTGAGAGAAAGGATCCTAATTTTTCCTCATCATGTGAGTCTAAATACGTCAAAAATATGCTTTAAATTTTGACATTTATACTATACCCTTAACAACTTTCACACTATGTCATAAAGTAAGAAGTCAATGTTAGCTACTTTGGTATGTTGTCTGTGGTCATGTATGATTCGGCTTTGAGGAACATGTCCAAGAAAGCAGTTAACTTCGAACTAAATGACATGAGAGTGAAAGGAAGATTGTCTAGAATTACACATATGCTCTATATTCACTATTGACAACTCACATTGCTCTATATGGGACATAGATTGGGTGTGAATACATAGCATGATTGGATGAGTAAAGTTTGCTCATTAAGGGATCAGAGATGCTTGACTCGTTGTAACTAGATGGATCTAGGGCATATGAGATACTATCTTTGGGTTGATGCCTCTATGCTGGCTCGTGATGAGTTTTTAGTGTAGGGCTCCCGCATGTAGGTATCCTCAGCGGTTGCACGGTCCATTGGCTAAGTATGATTGCGTTTATTGGGTAGATTGAGATACAAAAGGTGCGGTGTCATGGCAATGCATGTTCGAGTGGGAGATGTTGGAAATTGGGTTGGGTTTAAAACCCAGACCCAATTGGGTCGCCCATGGTGGCATGACCCGATTAAGAGAGATCCAAATATAATAATAGATTATATTTCAAGATATGAGATAATCTTGGTATTGGATAATCTTGATATGGATAATTGTCAATATATTAGATGATAATTATTTATTAGGTATTATTGATATGGGATAGACATTATCTGGGATAATATATCTATCCTATAGGTCTTCTAACTCTCCTATATAAACAGAATTTGGGTTCTATATTTAGTACAACATTTAAAATATACGTTCTCTCTTCTCATAAATCATTCTGCGTTTGTACTGTGATTAGTGTGTTTAAAACTCTAGTAGTTGTACTCCATTGTTATGGAGATTATTCAAGAGTATGTGATTCACCTTCTAAGCTGGATTCATTGTGCATTCTGCTTACCCACAAGGTATTCCTAAACTCATATAATTTTCCGCTATGTATATAATATTATATTTCCTTCATCGGGAATGGAGAGCACCTCTAGTTCAAGCCATGTTCCCTGCTTCAATGTCAGCCCATATTCTAGTTACTCACTTACCGAATGAACTGTTACCAGAGAAGTGTGTTTTGGTGTTATAGTTCAATGGGTAGATACACTACCAAATCTAGGTATTTTATTTCTCAGAATCCTTCAATTCAGTTCGACCATGGCAGAGGATAGAGCTTAGAAAATCCTTTTTATGGTTGCAAATATTCTGTTCCACGGTTGAGGCTAAAGCTTGCTATCAAGCACTTAAAACAATTACGATTCTCACCAATCTCAAGTTCTCATTACTGAATTGAGGCGAAGTGTTGAAGCTGGATGGGATCGTTTTCATATTAGTAGTGATATTAAACGGTTATGTAACTATATTAGTATTGTTCGGCAAGTTCTAAAAGTTGCCCATGCCAGCTAATGTTGTAAATTGTATGCAGGGCTGGCACTGAGATTTAGGAGTTCTAAAGCAAATTTCAGAAATGGGCCCCTCTTATATTAAAAAAAAAAAAAAAAAAAAATTCACAGATAAAACGATAAGTTAAGACACAAAAATATTTTTATTTTGGGCGTTTTTTATTTATTTTTATTTTTTATATCTAAAACACAAAATTATATTTGGAGGCCCAAGTCACACGCCTCTCTTTCCTGCCCTCAAGGCCGGCCCTGATTGTATGGCGGTTTAGTTCTTAATATATATCTGCCTTCAGTTTTAATCAAAAAAACAAAAACAAAAACAAAAACAAAAACAAAAAAAAGAGGCCAATTGCTTTTCCCTTTCACTACTGAACAGAAATAACAGGCTCATCATACACATGCTGAATAAAAAAATCTGAGATATACATAATAATGGGGAATATATATCCAGCTAACATTTATCATTACAACATCAAATAAAGAGATAAAAAGACTTGAACAAAAATTACTACTAATTTAATTTGCAATTTATTTAAGAGTCGCAGACATTTTTACAAAAGAATAAGTACAAATGACAAGACTTGAACCCATGACCTCTAATCCTAATATGAGGTGTAGCACCAAACTACGATCTCCATCTACCACAAAATATAAAAATAATAAAATAATAATAATAAACAAAATAAACTAAAGCACGCGCAGTGAAACCAACACCAATTTTTAAGTTCAGATGTTAAAAACCAATACATACCCATATCATCACTATTCATGGTTTAAAAAATAAATAAAAATAAAACAGTGATTGTGATATATCCCTCTGATGATGATGATGCTGCACACTGTTTAGCTAAATAGTAATACAGAAAGGCATACACTGAAAAAAAAAAAAAAGGAAAAAAGAAACAATGGGGAAAGGAGGGGGAAACGAAAAACAGAGTGGACCCCCAAAAGAAGCCCAATTTACAAATATAAGTAGTTTGTATTTTAAATGTCTCATGGAGAGGAAGTTTTTAAGTATCAATCTTAAGGAGAGAGTTGAGGGAAGTGCTGTTGAAACGCTGAGCGAGGCCTCTAATCACAAGTACGATGACATCACGCAGATGCCGGGTCTGCACCAGCAGGTCTACTTCATTTTCGCTGTCCACAACTATCCTAATTCGATGTTGCTCGTTTCGGAAAAGCTCCACCTGTACATTAATAGCAATATCATTATCATTATCAATATCAATATCAATATCATCTCTCCCACACATCCTTTTAATTTTAAAAGCAAAATAAAAATTTAGAGCTGAAATGTATGTATATATGTATGCATGTATAATGCATGCAAGTAGATGGATGCTTTAAGAAAACTGGAAGGAAATGAAGTTAGAAAACTTTGGTATTTTACAGAATCAAATATTCCAGGGACTATTTTTATCTTTAGTTCTAACCCAAAAAAATAAAAAAAAATAAAAAAAAACTTACATGGAAGGGAGGAGCATAACTTCCCCGTATTTCAGTGGTAGGAAAAGAAGTTTTAGAACCAGGCTTCACAACCTTGATTCTCTTTCTATTCACTTCCAGAATTCTTCTCTCAAGACTACCCATTCCTGGAACCTAGATTATCAATTTAACCATTTATTATTATTGTCATCACATAAAAAAATAAAACCTAATAAATGGAGCCAGAAAATTGAACAGAAGATATATTTACCTTTTTTGGAGATCTGTCCTTGTCACACAATGCCTGTTCCAAAGGCCTAAGGTGTGAGAGCTCAATGATAATTAAAATTTCATTTATTCTAGAGAACATCATTTAGGGTTTCTAACAATGCTAGTCCATAAGGAGATTGTTACATATTCTTCGAAAATTTAATACCACCCAACTACTCAAGAAATAAGATCACAACTGATCCCATTAGTGCTGGTATTTATGCTACAGCAGAGATTTAAGTAGCAGACACGCGACACGCGACAACACAAACACAATGACACGTCAATTTTTAAGAAATGCAAGACAAGATGCACCTGAGACTCATTAAATTTTGGGCAAATTACACTAACCTCTCCAGGTTTGGAAAAAAAAACAGTAAGCCCCACAATTTTGACATAATTATATTGACCTCGCTTGAGTTTTAATTTACATAACACTTGGACCATTTTTATCAATAATTTTTTAGTTATATAGATGAAAAAATGATATTGTCATCTCTTTTATATGAAAATATATATTTTACGTTATTTATTTTTGTGTTTTCACACCATCTATATTAATTTTCATCCATTTGACCATACTAAAAGGGATACTAGTATAATTATGTCAAAATTGTAGAGCTTACTGTATTTTCTACGAACCTTGGGGCAAGTCAGTGTAATTTACCCTTAAATTTTCATATTTTTATAAATTTCTTATATGTCAAATATATGAATAGTTTATTTTCAAAGGTAATTAAAGAAAAACAACGTAGCATTAATTAAAACTTAAAAAGGCATAATATTTCATAACTACATTAAGACATCGCATAACAATTACATTTTAAAGAATGCAAAACAAATACAGTTTATTAGAATACACATGATGCATTCATCATGTGTATTGATTTGAGTTCTTTCTCTGGTACTGTTCACTTCCTCTATTGATTTGAGTTGTTATTTATGAGCATTTGGTGAGATATAGAGATTGTATTTAGAGGAAAATTTGAGGGCTATTTGTTGATAAGTGTTGGAATAGTGAATTGAATTTTAGAAATATGGCCGAGGATAAACTGCAAGCTATCACTACTAAGTTAGATGGCACCAATTATTCTTATTGGTCTCATGTAATGAAGAATTTTATAATGGGTAAAGGCATGTGGAACTATGTTATTGGTGTAACTATTAGACCTGTGGAATCCAAAGAAACTGAGGCTGCTGTTTCTACATAGGATAAGGAAAATGCACAAATTCTTACTTGGTTTCATAATTCAGTTCAAACTACCATTGGTATGAATTTTTCCAAGTATTCTACTTCCAAACAAGTTTGGGACTATTTGAAAACTATGTACCTTGAGTCTAACTTTGCAAAACAGTATGAACTTGAGATGTCTATTCGCAGTGCTAGTCAAAAAGATAAGTCCATTCAGGAGTTCTACAATGAGATGACAACTTATTGGGATCAGCTTGTGTTAATGGAACCATCAGATTTGCAGTTACTTGACAGTTATACCAAGTATCGGGAGAAACAACGTCTTGTTCAGTTTCTTGTGGCCCTTCGTGATCAATTTGAGCCACTTCGGGGAGCTATTCTACATCGGTCCCCCTTACCTTCTGTTGATGGTGCTATCCGTGAACTTATTGCGGAAGAAACTCGATTTAAGGTGGCTCATGGTGTCCCTGCCTCCCAATATGAAGTGATTCATCATATAGGTAGAGTTTAGAGGGTGTTGAAGAAGGATCGCTGAAGATTCCAAGAAGTGTATGATATAATGACTTCAAAATTTTAATTAAGACACCTATCAAACACGCTTTTAAAAGTGTCCATATAGTGTTGCGTAATTTGTAATTTATATTGTTCATTAAGGATAGCTTGGTCCTTTAGGTTGTTAGGGTTTGTATTCTATTAGCTTATATAATTGTACTCAGTTGATTGATTGATGAATACAAGATTTCTATTCATTCTCTATTATCATGGTATCAGAGCATAGTAGCGATCGAACCTAGGTTATTCTTGGCACCAGAAGTTGCACATCGCAGGTCTGCTTCTGTCTCTCTCACATCGCAGGGTTCTCTTTCGCATCGCAGGCTTCGTTTCTGTCCATCATAGCGCATCGCAGGTCTGTCTCCAGACTTCTCCTGGATCATCGATCATCTCTCTTCTTGCAAGTGGTTCGTCTGTCTCTCTCTCGCATCGCATCACCCAGTGCATCGCAGGTCTGTCTCCAGACTTCTCTTGCATCATTGATCATCTCTCTTCTTACAAGTGGTTTGTCTGTCTTCTTACTTTGGAATTTTGTGTTCGAAACCCACGGCTGTGTTGACAAACAGCGTCTCCAGAGTTCTTTCTCTGGTACTGTTCACTTCCTCTATTGATTTGAGTTGTTATTTATGAACATTTGGTGAGATATAGAGATTGTATTTAGAGGAAAATTTGAGGGCTATTTGTTGATAAGTGTTGGAATAGTGAATTGAATTTTAGAAATATGGCCGAGGATAAACTGCAAGCTATCACTACTAAGTTAGATGGCACCAATTATTCTTATTGGTCTCATGTAATGAAGAATTTTATAATGGGTAAAGGCATGTGGAACTATGTTATTGGTGTAACTATTAGACCTGTGAAATCCAAAGAAACTGAGGCTGCTGTTTCTACATGGGATAAGGAAAATGCACAAATTCTTACTTGGTTTCATAATTCAGTTCAAACTACCATTAGTATGAATTTTTCCAAGCATTCTACTTCCAAACAAGTTTGGGACTATTTGAAAACTATGTACCTTGAGTCTAACTTTGCAAAACAGTATGACCTTGAGATGTCTATTCGCAGTGCTAGTCAAAAAGATAAGTCCATTCAGGAGTTCTACAATGAGATGACAACTTATTGGGATCAGCTTGTGTTAATGGAACCATCAGATTTGCAGTTACTTGACAGTTATACCAAGTATCGGGAGAAGCAACGTCTTGTTCAGTTTCTTGTGGCCCTTCGTGATCAATTTGAGCCACTTCGGGGAGCTATTCTACATCGGTCCCCCTTACCTTCTGTTGATGGTGCTATCCGTGAACTTATTGCGGAAGAAACTCGATTTAAGGTGGCTCATGGTGTCCCTGCCTCCCAATCAGTTTTTGTCACTTCTCCGCTCTTGCCTACCCCACCATCTCATTTATTTCAGGTTACTGGAAAGCCCAAGTCTCGGGTTTCCATGGATGAGTGCAGCTTCTATTGTCAACGAGGCCATTGGAAACATGCTTGTCCTAACCTTTTACAGCCCAAGGGTTGTTCATATGGTTCACTATCTTCTAAGCCGCCATCTTCGGGATCTCGCTCATCTATCGCCTTTTCTGCACCAGCTTCTGAGAATGAGCCGTCTTCCAATATGCAGTCTATGTTTGAGCAGTTCAAGTCTTTCACGGTGGCTAATCCAAATCTTTCGTCCCAAGCCTCTGCAATGCCTACCACTCAGTTAGGTTTGTCTAGCTCATCTTCTTCAGGTAATATCCACATTTCGTGGATTTTAGACTCTGGTTGTTCACATCATATAACCCCTGTTGCATCTCTCCTTAGTAATTGTGTCTCCCCATCTTCTTCTATCACTATTGCTACTGCTAATGGTTCTTCTATGCCTGTACACTCTATTGGTTCTATTTCCTCTTCCCATTTCTCTCTTTCTCCTGTATTTTATGTGCCTCATCTTTCACTCAGTCTTATTTCTATTAGTCAATTATCTGATTCCGGTTTTGATGTTGTTTTCTCTTCTTCTCATTGTGTTGTGCAAGATTGGGTATCCACGAGGCAGATTGGGATCGGGCGTAGAGTTGAAGAATTGTATATCTTGGGCAGCTTGCATGTTTCTCTAGAAGTGTCTTCTACTGCATTGTCTTCTTTTTGTTTAAACAATAAGTCCTCTTTATTTTATATTTAGCATTCTAGGTTAGGTCATCTGTCAAGTGACCGTTTAAGGATGTTAGTTCGGTCTGGACATTTAGGCAGTTTTCCCATTGATAATATTTCTGAGTGTCGAGGTTGTAAACTGGCTAAAATGTCTGCTCTTCTTTTTAATAAAAGTAGTTCTATTTCTTCTCCTCCTTTTCATTTGGTTCATACTGATATTTGGGGTCCTTCCCCTATAGTTACCAAGGGTGGTTCGTCATATTATGTGACTTTTGTGGATGATTATAGTCGATTTACCTGGGTTTATTTGATGACCCGAAAATCTGATTTTTACAAAATATATTCTAATTTTCACTCCATGATTCGCACTCAGTTTTCCACCACGATCAAAGTTTTTCGTTCTGATTTGGGGGGTGAGTATTACTTGTCTGAGTTTGAGGAGTTTTTAACTACTCATGGCAGTATTCATCAGTCTTTGAATTCTGACACTCCTGCCCAAAATGGTCGAGCTGAGCGCAAACATCGCCACCTCCGTAATACTGCTCGCTCTTTGTTGCTCTCGTCTTTTGTCTCTTCTGTTTTTTGGGGAGAAGCTGTACTCATGCTACATATCTTCTCAATCGAATGCCTACTCCTCTTCTCTCAGGCTCATCTCCGTATGAACGTCTTTTTGGTGTTACTCTCAATTATTCTCTTCTTCGTATTTTCGGTTCTGCATGTTTTGTGCTCCTTCCTAAACGGAGCGCTCTAAGCTTAGTTCTCGTTGTGTCCTATGTGTCTTTTTAGGGCATAGCATTACTCAAAAAAGTTATCGGTGCTATGATCCTACCACCAAAAAGCTATATGTGTCCAGGCATGTCACCTTTTTAGAAAAACTCCCTTACTACACTATACCTTCCAACCCTGTCCCTATTACCAAGGACGAATTGGTTCACGTTGACCTATTTTGTGAGAACCCGAATATAAAAATTAAGTAAATAATTAAATAATAATAATAATAATATTACAATCTCAAATATTTTGTTGGTGAATTCTAAAGTGCAAATTAAATATTTGGAGGGTCTTTTAATTAATTTTAAAACCTAAAATAAATTTATGGTGAAAGTCTTCAATTTAAAGGCAAGATTTATTATTTTAAAAAATAAATAAATAAATAAATAAAA